CCGCCTCAGAAAAGGGCAATGGCAAACCCTCTCTGAAGCAAGTTGCCAAGAAAAGCCCAGGATAGTGTCACCTTAGCGTTGCCTTAAGTTGGAAACAACTTGAAGGCACACAGTAGAAAGAGATGTGTTGCAGAGTAGCATGCCTGCTTGCTCTGGGAAGGAAGACAGCCTAAGTATAAACAAAGATAAGATGAAGGTAATAGCCAGTTTATAATAATATCAATCCTGACAGTACAAGATTACTGGCATGATGCCAGCAAAACACTTTCTTACCTGTATGCAAGAAAAGGAAGCACCAGTAGGTTGGCAGAGAAAATATACCTCAATGTGTTCTTGTTGTTGTGATTGCTGTGTACCTTCAAGTCATTTCTGACTTATAGTGACCCTAAGGCAACCCTATCATGGTGTTTTCTTAGCAAAATTTGTTCAGAGGGGTTTGCCATGGCTATCTTTTGAGGCTGAGAGAGTGTGACTTGCCCAAGGTTACCCAAATGGGTTTTTCTATGGCCGACCAGAGATAAACTGGCTGAAACAGGTATAATATTAATGATGCCTACCTTATCTCAGATCCTATTTTTAATTTATATATATATATATATGTGTGTGTGTGTGCGCGCATGTGCATATGTATATAGATATGTATGTGTATATGCATGTGTGTGTGTATGTGTGCACATGTCTATGTGTGTATTGTGCATATGTGTGTGCGGGTACATATATGTGTGTGCATATATGTGTCTATATATGTATGTGTGCATGTATATATCTGTGTGGGTATGTATATATATATATATGCGCGCACACACACACTTATATAATCTTGATGCACACACAGATATATACACTCACATACGTGTGTGTGTGTGTGTGTGTGTGTGTGTGTACACATACATATGCACAGAGAGATACACCCAAGTGTTTTTTGGGGGAGGGGTATATTGTTGTTAATTGCCTTTGTGTTGGTCTGAACCAGGGGTAGGCAACCTTTCCCCTTTAAGGGCCGAGGGACTTCAACTCCCAGAAGCCTCAGCCATGTTGGCCTATAATAGTCCCATGTTGGCCAATAGCTCCTGGGATTCTGGGAGCTGAAGTCCCTCCTTGGCCCTAAAAGGGGAAAGGTTGCCTACCCCAACCCATGGCAATGACCCTATGGATGAAAGATCTCCAGGCCCCCCTGTCTTCTCCTGCTCCACCCAGTTCCTGCAAACTCATATTTGTGTTCTCTTTAATAAAGTCCCTCCATCTGGCATGTGGCCTTCCTCTCTTTCTACTTCCCTCCACCTTTCCTAATATTATTGTCTTTTCCAATGATCCATGCCCTTTGTTTTTTTTTTGGGGGGGGGTCATTTGTTTTTGGTCGTGATTATTTTAAAGGGTTATTTAAAGAGTTGTCATGTTTTGACATGCTGTTGTTCTTTTAATGGAAAGACGAGATTTTTTTCAAAATAAAATAAAAGAATTATTATAAATGAATATATGAATTTAGGGCGAGGAAGGAGCCTGGGAACAAAGGGAATCAAACCCCCCCACGCCCCTCCCTTCCTCTCTCTCCCTTCCTGTCTTTCCTTCTTTCTTTCTCTCTTTCTTTCTTTCCTTCCTTCTCTCCTTACCGGGACGCCGTGCCCGGGCCTACTCCCCAGGGAAGGCCTGCATTTGCTGGGCACCATGGCAACGGGATCCAGCCACCGCCGCCGCCACGGACCGCTTCCGCGGCCCTTCTTCCGCCTCCAAACCGGAAGCCACTCAGCCAGTCACCATGGCAACCCTTTCACTTCCGGTTGCAGCAGCGGCCATGTTGCTCCCTCAGACCGACTCTCTGCATCAGTGGGCGTGGCCAGGAGTGAGTCTCCGCCTCCGTCGCTAGCAACCTATCAGGAACGCCTTTTCCTCCCCAAGAGAGAAGAAACCCTAGATTGTGTACATATATGTACGGTTCCCAATTGGCAAAGGAGACAGACAAAGCTGCATCCTTTCACCCTATTTGTTCAATTTGTATGCAGAACATCTTGTAAGAAAAGCAGGCTTGGACACAGAAGGAGGAGGAGTGAAAATAGGAGGGAGGAATATCAACAATCTTAAAATATGCAGATGACACCATAATCCTAGCAGAAAACATCATATTTAGGCTTAAAACACCTCCTAAGGAAGATTCAAGAAGAAAGCGCAAGGACAGGCTTAATGCTGAACAAAAAGAAAACAAACATAATGACCACAGAGAATTTAAACACATTCAAATTAGACAATGAGGAAATAGAAATAGGAAAAGAATTCCCATTCCTGGGATCAAACATTGATAGAAATGGGGACTG